TAATTTTAATTCTTTTTAATAATGATTATATAATGGTTTGAACTAATGATTGCCTTATTTATCTACTGTTTTATTGAATTGTTGAATACTGCCCAGAGTCACTTCCCTAGAGGTGGAGGGCAATATAAATTTATTTATTATGGTATTAAATAAATTAATAAAAACTCCCAGCCAGCCATGCTCAATAGAATATTGTGTGCAACTCTGGGCATGCCGGTTTAGAAAAAGTATTGAGAAAAGGAGCACTTCTGGATGATATCAACTCAAACCATAAGGGTCTTGAAAGAAAGAAAAAATAAAACAGTCAGAGGTGCTATGCAGATTTAGTACTAGAAGAGAAGCCTTTAAGGCTACTTGGTAGCTATCATTTAGAGGATAGTATAGGCTTGTTCAATACTGTACAGATGAAAAGTCAAGAAACAATGTGTCTAAACTGTAAGGCAACAGATTCCAATTGGATATTAATGGTAAAATGTGTTCAACAATAGAGCAGACTGTTTCAGAAGATTGATTCTCCTTCGCTGGGAGTATTGAAGCCACAACTGAACAGACATCTGTTGCGAATACTGTATTAATGGATTCTTATATTGGGCAGGTGGTTGGACTAGAATTCAGAGGTGTCAAATTGATGGCCCATGGGCTGGATGAGTCACGCACAGGCCACACCCATCCCAGCTCCGTGAAGGAAAAAAACATGGCAATACGTGACTGCAACACGATGCAGTGACTTTGACATCCATGGACTAGATGATCTCCAACTGCATTACAGCCTTACATTCTGTTTTAAACTCTGACTCAATCTATTGTTTAGCGAAGTCTTCTAGAGAGAGCTTTATATAGTTAATAACTCTAACCAATATTTCTGCAGTTATTTTTGCTGCATCAGGATGAGATATATTTTTCCAGCCTTTTCTTACTGACACGCAGACAAAGCACCAGCCAAAGGAAATGCACTCCTATATTCTCCAAATGTTCCTAATTAGTAGATAGCCAAAACATATACTTTCCAATCAAAGGAGCAAAATAGTGCAGGAAATTTTTTTTAAAAACCCAATCAGGAAATCTAGAAATTGGGTAACTGGGTCAAACTTTTATTTCAAAAATATTGCTCTGCTCAACGTCATCAACTAATTTGAACCATAGCTGGGAAGGACAAGAGGAAAAGAAAATCAGTAACATGTTGAAGAATTTGAAAAATATTGTAAACTGTATGGTTAATAGAAATCAACTTTTGAAAGTTATACATAATATACTGTATAAGAAGAGGGAGGATTTCTATCAACAGTCCTATTGTCTGCTTTCTATTTTTTTTTTATTTCTCAGATCTTCAAGGGAAATTTCTAAACAATACTGACTTTTAAACATTATCTTCATTTTCTCTAATTCATTAATAGCATAAACATTTAAGTCCAAATCCAGAACTTAATTTACATAGATGCAGCAGCCCTGCTTTTCTCACTCCAATATGCAAAAAAAAAAAAAGACCCAGAAATATTGAAGGGAGCTTTTTTTCTGCCTCCTTGCTGATGTCTTCAAATATATATTTTCTAAAAATTTAAAAATACATGTATCTCAAATATTTAGCTAATAAGAAATCCCAATGGTCTGTGGGAAGTTAGCTACAGAAGACAGTGTTTAAGTAAAACTCATTCCTGATGAGTGGTTTGATTGGGGAATGTTTTTTTCCTGATGCCTGGTGACATGTTGAAAAGAGACAGAAGAAAGCCAAAGAAGAAATATGAGGGGTTCGAGTTTTCGGCAAATAAAAATTGTGTTAATTTTGTGGAGACCAACATACAGTACCTGCAGGACCACATTTTGTGATATTATTTGCAATGTCAACTTCCAATGGGGCCTTGGGTTGGACTGATGCTCTCTAAAGGTGTGGAGAAACTCATAGCTGAAAATGCTGGCTAGAAAGGCAGATTCTGGTGAATCTGCAATGAAGGACAATAAAATGAGGCCTCCAGAAGCAAGTAACTCAGTAGTGGATGACAGGATCCACCATTGGTCAGCCGTGGAAGGTGTGCTGGATAAGCAGAACAAAGAGAAGACAGCTTCTCACGAAATGCAATTCCTGAGCAAATAGGAATTATTGTCTCTGTAAAAAAAGCTCTGGGAAGTAGATTAATTGTAAATTTCTATACATCATCATTAAATTGAATAGGGTTAAGGTTAGAGTTAAGACGAATGAGTATTAAGGAATTAGTGAGCATGAAGAAAAGTATTAACTCTAAGACTATCCAGTTTTGTGGCTAAGCAGGATGAGAATCCAGGTTTCTTTTGGCCAGTGCATCACACTGTTTCTTGCTGCCATTTCTCTGAATCTTTTACAAAGAATCAGCATTTTTTAAAATTAAACTTGCATTTCCAACCATTTTGTGACAAAATGCATCATGTTCAATGGATTACATTTTGATAAAACAAAGCATTGCTAAGAAATGATCCACGTATCTGTAATAGCTATAGAACAAACCCTAAATCTGCTGTTGAAATCAGGATTACATTTTCCTTTAATTTGCCATAAATTGTCAAAGACATTTAGTAATAAACAAATATATATTAATAATACTAAACCTACACCAGTTAAGAGGGAGACACATAAACTCATATTCAGAGTGCACAGTTCAATTCTAGACTGAAATGATTAAAGTCTAGAATTTGAGACTTACCGTAATTTTTTTAAGTCTATAAAAAGAAGATTGCATATATTACTGGATAGTCTAAGAATGTACAGTATATGAAATCAGATTTAAACTATGCAGGAAAGAATTGTGCAAACAAGCCAATTTGGACCCTACCAATTACTTATAAAACAGAGAGAATGGGTTGGTGTGAAATGCAAGGACCATATATGAACTTTCTCCCTGTTACAGTTTTCCATTCCAAGCTATATTATTTTATTATTATTTTTCTTCTTCATGAGATTTACATAAGCATAATGGAAGCATTAAAAAGACTGGAAAATTATATTTTCTATGGAAAATGTAGGAAAGGGAACAGGATTTCACTTCCCCTCCAATCTGCCCACCATATCTACTGTGACCCTGTGCTTACAGTTGTCCATAGGACTGAAGCTTGATCCAGCTTTAAAAAATCCTCTGTTGCTGGGATTTATAGGTTAATGTTAACTGGATTGTGGCCTAAGCAGGTAAAAGACTAGTAAGGGCAAAACTCTTATTTTTTCAGTCATAGTCTCATCAAAGAAAATATTTATCTCTAGGAAATTTTTCGTAAGAGCCAAACCAGATGTTTTACCCAGGTAAACAAAAGTCTTCCAACTTTTTTATGAAAAGCAACCACAGGTCCCTGCAAGTATAAGCAAAGGAACAATAACTGCTTAACCCCTCTCCTTCCAGCTGCCTGTTGTTCTATTAAAAATGCACACACATTCACTTTTCCATCCCTAGAAAAAAAAGTATTTGTACTCATGATTTCCTTATGCAACGAGAAAAGTGACTCATATGTAGTTAGGAAATTAAATATAAAAAAAGGGTTAAGCAGCTGTTTGGCTGCCAATGCTCATGGTTATCCTCCAAGGTTGTTTTGGTCTTTAAAAACTTGATATGTATGATCATCATGGATACTTAACCTATGATGACTTTTGAGCCATACAAAATCTAGCATAAAGCTGAACTAGGGGTGTAATTTTATACATACTTTCCAGGAGGTAAGACCCAGAGAACACATCTGGACTTCTCAGTAGATTTTTGTTTATTTATTTAGCTTATTTTTCCATTAAAAGGAATCCTGAAATAGCCTACAGAGTTACAAAATAACTCTTCAACCTAAGAAGAACCACAGTAAAACACTATGAAACATACTGGTTATTTATAAACTCATCCTGGGTTAAAAAAACAACAACCTGAATTGGGCTAAAAGTAACACTTATAGGTAGGTACATATTATAAGGTATATATAAATTATATAGTACCGTACTAATATACTCTTATTTATTTGGATTTGTTATACCACTCACTTCCGCTAAGGCTATTCCATAAGTTCAAAACATGTATTAAAAACACAAGTAAAAGTCACATCTGCCTCGACCAAAATAACATTCCCCAACATGCAAAAAAAGTTCAACAGGGGCTCCTATTAGAAGAAAGAATCTATTCTATTGATTTCAAAATGACAAAATCAAACAAATATATTTCCCTTCACACTCTGTTGGATCAAAAGCCAGATATTTGCCTAGTATATAAACTGGTTTAAAGGTTGGTCTGACTTTTCTATTCTCACCTAACAAAACTGAATCCTCTCTTTCTGAGCTGTAATGTTTCTTTCACTGTCCTTTCACTATTATATTTTGTCTATCTTGTTGTCTTCTTTCTCTGGAACATACTTTTTTTTTTAATACAGATGTCCTCCATCTGTCTGTTCCTTCCATGACCCAAGCCAAGGCCATTCAGCATTCCTGAGCCAAGCTGCATCCCCAATTATGTACTCCCCCCCACCCTTTCCAGAAGGTCATGGACACAATTATTATCTATACCTTGGAAACCAGTGTAAATTCTCCTGGGCACCACAAAGTAGTTGTTTTGTTATCATTTAAATATGCAAAGTAACATTTATCTTAGCTCTCCCTAGGAAAAGAGGATTTCACGCCCAGCTCAAATCTTCCCCCTACCTTCTTCAGTCAAGAAGAAAGAAGCTGAATTAAGTTTTATAAATAAATTAGCATCGTAATAGTTAATTTTTAGACTATCATCTTTCCCCCCCCCCCAAAAAAAAGCGACGAAGAGAGAAGAATACAAATCTAACTCAGCGCCATGAATCGCGCAGGGTGGGAGTCAGATTTGGAGAAAGAAGGGGAAAAAAGGCAAGTTGCTTTAACTATCTGGAGATGCGTTGGGCTCCAATATCCCCCACCACAATATTTATGGATGCTGCAGTCCAACGCATTCGAGAGGCAACGAAGGCGCGAAGAATTAGCAGGGAAAAGTTGAGAGATGCGCGCCCTCCCTCGCCCCGCCGTCTTTCTGGAGCGAAGCTCTCACCCTGACCGCAGGCGCCCCTCTGGATGGCGATGACGGGCGGCTGATGCTGACTTTCGGAGCGCTGGCTAGCGGTCCGCAGCTGGCACAGGTTGCCGTAGCTCCTTCCATCGCTGCCACACACCGGCTCGTTCCCAGCACACACGCAGTGGCCGGCTTTCGCTCGCCTCCGCACCGTGGCCGAAGCCGCCACTCCGGGTCCCCCGGACGACAGCACACACAACAGCCCTTCGGCACACAACGGCTCCCCGAACGGGGACCCTCCGCAAGACTCGCCTTCTTGCGCGGCACACACGGGGCAGCAGCCGCAGGAGTCGAGCGTCTGGCCGCTTCCCGCGCACTCGACGGGCACCTCCGGGCACCGCGCACGGTCGCATCGGTCAGGGCAAACCCGCTCTTCGTAACGTCTCCCGAAAGCTTGAGCCGAGCTGCCCGGGAGCAGGAGCAAGAAGAGGCACGGCCACCAGCCGCTGGGCGCCAAAGGCCACAGAAAGGCTTTCATTGCTTCCTCACAAGAAGGCGCAGAAAGTCCAGCGAGCGAAACAAGCGCAACGGACCGGGACGGCGCGGCCGAAGTGAGGAGGGAAGGAGGATCCCGGCGCGCGGGGAGAGCCGGGAATTGGAAACCTTGCCTAGCAAAAGCGCGGAGAGCAACTGAGGAGGGAAGCGCTGCTTTAAAAGGAGCCGGCGCAGCCGGAGAGGTTGGATGCGCGCGTGGCTCGAGGAGCTGTCTGGGAGGAGACTTGGCGGCGTTATGCAAGGCCGGGGAAGGGAAGGAAATCTGCTGCCGCGCCAAGTGGGAGTGCAAACTGCAGCAAGTTCACGGAACTTCCCCCCCCTCCCCTATCAGTTTTTTTTTTTTAAAGTATTTTTATTAATATTGAAAGGCCTGGTTCTGTCATTTATATCAGGTGAACATACTTGCCATCAGAGTATATTATATACTCATATATTATATACTCTAGAATATTATTACTCATATATATATATATATATGTATGTGTCAGATGTAAATGCCTTATTCTCCAATGTGTAAATAGTGTACAGACAGGGTATCAGGGGTTAACTTATTCTTCACTTCTTAATGTATTCATAATTCACCACTCCCACATATAGCTCCACCCATTGTATATATAAGGAGCTACCTACACCATTTCCCTTGCTTCTATCTGTGAATATTCAGTGAATATAGAATGCCTAATGTAAATAAAGAATATATAGTTAAATCTTTAACTCTTGTTGATCTTATTGAGTCTGATCCTGAAAATATTGCAACAAACTGGTAGCAGAGGATGGTTAATTGACTCAATAAAAAAGCTTTAAGATGTCTAAGAAAGATAGGCCCAACACCAGGGCCTACAGCAAAGAAATGGAAACGGAACAAGAAATAATCAACGAATCCACCAATGCAATTTCGAGAGAATCCGAAGAATACACCACTGAAGACGAAGAAATAATTGATGACCAGGAGGAAACCGAAATAGGAAATAACGAACTCAGGTCAGAGATATTAAAACTATTAAAAAGTCAGAAGAATGATGAAAGCCTCATCGCGAACCTCCAAGATATGCTGAAGAACAGCGGAGCAGCGAGAGAGAAAAACATCACCAATGAAAAACCCAAAGATCCAAAAATAGTGAGTAATATGACTGCGGAGAAAATCATTACAAAGAAGAAAAACGATGATCCCGCACAAAAATTTGAATGGCGGCCATCTTGGTTTCAACCGGCCTCCAAGATGAACGAAGCAGAGCCAATCAGCAAGCTCAATTCAAAATTTCTGGCGCGAAAAATATTATCAGACAACGAAAACAAAAAGGAAGATTCAAACACCTCAGAAGAATCAGAACCAGAAAGCGAGGAAGATCCAACAAAACACCAAATAAAATCAGCGATGAAAACGCTCTTTGCTGCATTTGGGCCAAAACTGAAAATTACTAAAAAGACACCAAAAAAGCGAACGAGCAAGCCAATGCCTCAAGACCTGCCCGCTCCCATCCTGACTACTAGAACGCTGACGCCGGAACCCAGAGAGCCCTGCCGATACCGCCCTACGCCGCAGACCGAAGCAAGCACCAACGCTCTCAATAGAAGAGGAAGAACAGCCACCGTCGCCAGAACCCCCAAAGTCGAACCAGAGACCGACTCATCTGAAGAAGAGCAGAGCGAGCAAGCCGCAATGAGGAGAACTTTCTACGACGACGCCGAAGAAGAAATGAGCATCGCGCATGCGCGAAACTACGCTGACGATCCGGGAAGACATGAACAGGAGAGAAGATCATGCAGACTCGTAGCGAGCATCCCCACGCCGTTTTGCAATTTTCTGCATTTACGAGACCACGGACTACCTCAGGTTGTAAGTAATGGACCCAATAATGTCGGAAATTTACCCAGTGACTTCCCAAAACTAAGGGTTGATGGCATTAATTTACAAGAATGGTATCAACAGCTCCAGGTTGTCTTTATGAAGGAAAACTTACTGTTTTTTATCACTAGTCCCCCAAAAAGACCTTGGACACTAAAAATAGATTGTTTACACCATAGAGCTTTTTTCTTAATAATATCTAGTGTGTCTACTGCAATGTATCACAGCATTAAGCCAAATTTGACTGTTTCAGAAATTATTCAATGCATGTTTAATTTGTTTCACAGTGACAGTGTAGCCACCACCACAAGGATATCTAAAGACTTCTTTTCATCTAGGATAAAACCAGGGGTTTCCATAAGTGAACATTTAATATCTTTGAACAAAATAAGAGCTGAACTGCATTTGAGGGGGGAGGTGATTTCAGACCAAACAATGAAAAGTGTCATTATCAACTCACTTGATCCATCATGGGACAATTTTATGTCACATTTAGACACAATCAATCTAGGGTATTTATCCATAGAAAGTCTATCTAACAAATTGATAACAGAAGATAATTCTAGAAGGAATCGTTCTAACAATCACACAGAACATAAACCATATAGGAAAGTAGCTTCCAAGAAAAATATAGTGGAACATTTAAATGTCATAATTGTGGATCCAGGGAACACAATAGAAGAGATTGCCCAAAATTCTTAAAAGAAAGATATAGATCAGAATACAGAAACAAATACGATTATAGACAGCCTTCCATAGAAAGGCATAGATATAGGAGCCCACCAAATCACAGAGAGAATAGAGGGGGGCAGAGACAATTCAAAGGATAGAAAGTCTGGTTCACTGAATGGATTAAATAAACAAGACAACACTAACACACAACAAAGTGAGAACAATAATTGGCTTATTGATTCTGGAGCAACTAATCACACCACTAATAACAAAAGTATATTGTCTTCATTTGCAGAAGATAAATTTGTAATTAAGGTAGCTAACCAAGAAAAGGTTCAAGTATTAGGTAGAGGAAATGTAACCTTACCTGGTTTAGGAAAAATAGAGGGGGTATTACTAATACCTGAAATACCTCATAACATATTAAGTGCCATAAAACTAAGCAGAGATTCTGACATTAACATTGTCTTTTCAAAAGGAAAGGCAACTTTGGAAAAGAATAAAATAAATGTAGGCACTGTGGTGACTAAAGGAGGACTACCTTACCTAATAACAAAAGAAAAATGGTTACATAACATTGATTCAAATATGGAAGATTGTATTGAGATAGATGATGAGAATGTTAGCAACAGTGACAATGATGAATGTAAAATATCTCATGATCACACAGATGCACACAACGATAAGAAGCCAAAGATAGGCAAACCAATTCATGATGAGTGTGCTCACATATTGCATAGGAAGTTAGGACATGCCAGTTTTCCTGTAGTGCAAAAAATGACTGAACACGCAGAAGGTGTCAAAATAAAAAATTGTGAAAATTATCTGGCTGGAATGCTCAGTATGTAAATCTACAAAACTAAAAACTAGTCCCAGGCCAAAAAAATCTACCAGATCAACTAACAAAATTTTTGATTTAGTACACATGGACTTAGTTGGTCCATTAACCCCATCAATCACTTATAGGAAACGTTACTTCCTGACAATAGTGGACGATTATAGCCGCTATGGATTTGTTTACACATTAAAACACAAAGATGAAACATTTCAAAAATTTAAAGAATTTTACAAACGAAAGAAACACAACACAACATCAAAATAAAACAAATTATGACAGACAGAGGATGCGAATTCATGTCTAAAGAATTCTCACAATGGTTAAAAGACAAAGGAATGTTACATTACACATCTAGTCCATTTTCTCCGTTCCAAAACGGGATTGCAGAGAGAAAAAATTCCACATTACAAACCATGATTAGATGCACATTGGAAGATGCTGGCTTAAGCAAACAATTCTGGTCAGAAGCCTTACATTATTCAAATTACACACAAAATAGAACATGGTCCAGCATTATAAATAAGACACCATATGAAGTGATGTATAATAGAAAACCAAAATTAGCACACATGCATATATTTGGAGTCACAGCAGACGTACACATACCTAAACAATTAAGAAGAAATGGAAGAAAATGTGTCCAGGAGACTCAGATTTATGGGATATGAGACTGGCACTAAAGGATACAGATTCATTGATAGTAACAACAAATTTATAGTCTCCAGAACAGCTGTGTTCCATGAACAAGCTAACTGGTCTAAATTACATCTTAATGAGATATTCCCAAATAAACATGAAGATACAAAATCTCATGAGAAAGGGACTATAGAAAAACAAAATATCGACAAATATAGAAACAAAACTAAAACTTGGACAAATAGCCAACTCAAAATAAAGACAGACACACTAACAAAAAAGGAAGCAAGATATTTGCATGATAACGATAGTAAACCCGAGAAAATCATTAGAAACACCAGAAATCAAATGCCAAATAAATACAAGGATTATGTAATGCACATGAATGGTGAACCAACAACACCCCAATACATACGAGGTGTTAAAACTTCCTCACGAAGAAAAAGAAAAATGGGAATTAGCAATGAAGAAAGAGATGGAAAGTTTACAAGGACTAAATGTATTTACACCTGCATCTGCACCTAAAGATAAGACAATTATTGGTACCAGATGGATATATAAAATTAAGAATTTAGAGGGAGGAAATACTCTATACAAAGCTAGATTGGTTGCACAGGGTTATGCACAGAAATATCCAGAGGACTATACTGACACGTATTCCCCCACTGTAAGAACAGAGAGTGTCAAAACAGCTCTAGTGGTAGCTTCAGCACTCAATCTAGATGTATTCCAATATGACATACAGACTGCGTACCTACACGCAAAATTAGATAAAGAAATATACGTGAGAGCACCCTATAGTCATACACAAACAAAAATGAGACTTGGTTGTTAAACAAGAGTTTATACGGGCTAAAACAATCTGGTAAACGGTGGTATGATTGTTTAGTAAAAGTACTTAAGACCATGGACTTCAACGCTACCACTGCTGATAATTGTTTCTTTGTCAAGAGAGGGTGATGATTACATTGAATTTGTATTGATTTATGTGGATGACATTTTATACAAAGACATAAGAAAGAAGAGAAACTTTTGTAACTAAACTAAATGAACATTTCTCATTGAAATCTTTAGGCAAGGTAAACAAATACCTTGGTGTCCAAATTAATAAGACAAAAAGGGGATTCAAATTACCCAGAGAGATAAGATCATAGATCTTTTAAATAAATGCAACTTAAACAATGCCAAACCTTGTGATACC